CATGAATCTCATCCTCATATAGTAGTGGAATAAATCATTCCACTATCCTCTTCACTTTCTTCTACTTTAGGCTGTATGCTGTAGTAAAAACCGGTAGGCTCACAGTATTGTCTCTGCATGTTTTATCTTATAACAATTGACCTCTCTGTATTGTATTCGTTTTTTTATTGCTCTTTTCAAAGTGGTTTCAGAATATCTCCACTGAAGGAACTGCTCATACATGCATATGGCTTTACTATCAAAATCTCCTTTGTCGCAACAGCCAAAACCAGGATGCTGGAATCAGATCAAAAGCTACCATGGGTCAGGGGTGTTACACGCTGACCCCTGTTTTCTGATTACTCTGACCTGGGCCTGTTTACTGGACTTGCCTTTGCCTGCTGTTTCTATACTGCTTTGCCTGGCTGTTACTGATTTTGGCCTGCCTCCTGGACTTGCTCTACCTGTCGATTTGGTTCCTCGTTGTCTGGTCTTTGCTGACTGCTGAATACTTCCTGTCTCCTGGTCCTATGCGGTCTTCTGCTTTGGTGCTAAGCTGCTCCTGTGTTCCATTCCAAGGACTCCAACTACCAGCTCTACCCACCTACAGAGTGGACACCACCAGCCAACTACTCCGGCACTTGTGCCGCTCTTTGCCTTCACACTCTCTGTCTCCATCTTCAGGGGTGATGGACAGGAGGTGCAAGAGAAGCCTCCATAACTTTTCAGTCTTCACCAGGTACATGATAGTACCATTTAGCCATGACTAAGACTGGAGACTGGAGGAGGTACCTCTCTATTTCAGGCTTTGTGCCAGAAAATCTCAACCCTAATCCAAGTGGTGACAGGACTCCAGGAGGGTTATTTCCAGCTTGAAGATCGTATGCGCTCTCTGCCCACTACATTCCCAGCTTCCACTCCAGCTTCAGCTCTTGCACCTACAGTAGTGATTCCTCCCCTGGAACTTCTGGTGCCTACCCCAGAGCTTTTCTCAGGAAATCTACACAAATTTCGGGCCTTCCGCAATGCTTGACAGCTGTATTTTGAGTTACAACCATGAACTTTTTCTCTTGAATTTACTAAGATGAGTTTTGTCATTTCTCTGAACCACAGTCATGTCCCCATCATCTTCTGGAACAGACCAACCCATCCTTACATCAGTCTCTTCCTTCTTTGAGACCATGGCTCAGATTTATGATGATCCCCAACAAACCTCTACAGCACATTCTATCCTGCATACGCTCCGTCAAGGACTTCAGCCCATGGAGGTCTATGTGATTAAATTCTGCAAATGGAGTTCTGAGACAGCCTAGATGCAGTCTTGCGGTACCAGTTCTGTTTGTGACCTTCAGAGGCTCTCAAAGATGTACTTGCCAGACTGGATCCACCAACAACACTCTCAGACCTGATCCAGCTTGCTATTCAGCTTGATCGCAGAATACAAGAGAGAAGGGCAGAGAGGTCTGGTAATACTCAACCTATCTGGACACCAGCAGCTCATGTGCACCCAGATCCAGCTCTGCAACATCCTCCTCCATGGTGGAATCTATTCAATTGGGACTCACCTCAGTCATCCAAAGAAAGTCTGTGACGGCAGCAGAACAACTTATGCCTCTGCTGCAGCGGCATTGGTCACTATCTGCGCAACTGCCCAGTAAGGCCACGGATTCCCTGCTGACAGCTGAATGTGAAAAGAATTGCCGGCAATTAAACATTTAGCAAAAAAATGGCATGGGCCCCCCCCCCATCCATACCAAGCCCTTCAGGTCTGACCTATGGTCAGGTGCATTGCTCTGGCCAATCATAATGCGCTGTCAGAGCACAGTGCACTGGAGGGAGCAGAGGGCAACCCCCCCACACTTGACCCCCCCAAATTCCTCTACTGTTCGTGCGTTCACTGAACACATGTACGGCCGATGTTCAAGTCGAACTTATGTTCGACTCAAACATCAAGCCCAACACTAAGTATGAGTAAGTAATCACTGGAATAGGGTTGTGGAGGTATGTTTTACCCCTGCATGCAGCACATTTTATAACTAAATTCTACTAGCCTACATCATTCAGTCTTGAGTAAAGCTACATGACTAGATCTTGCTTATTATTTGTTAGTGATAAAACTTACCATATAAAACAATAAGTATATTGGATTGTATGACAAACAGGGATTTACCTGTATTCATGAAGACTCGGAAAACTACTGAGCACAAAATAAAGGGAAAATACTTCAACCTTTAAAAGTAATCTTGCACAAGTATTATAATGGAGGCTACATATTTAGACTTTTGCTTGAGCCTACTTATAACAAGCTTTCTTTTGCATCTAAATTGTGACTGTAATTACAAGATGTGGCATCTTAATATTTCTACCTAACCTCAAAGCAAAATTCAAGACTTGCTGTTAAAAATTTACAATAAGTGTCTGGGCATGTAGCTGTAGACTAATTAGATACACTGTCCAGATTCATGTTATAACTAATGGTGTAATGTGTTTCTATCTCCAAACATTTGGAATAATAATTTACAGTGTCCAAACAAGGGTCAGTGTCGACAAGTTTTACTTGTGCATCATTTAAAAAAGTCAATATATTAATAAAAAAACACAGCTAATTCAGAAACTTGGCAGCATCTTGAATGTAAAAGTGATCGTTTTTTAATCTAGATAAATTGTACCTATCTTCATCGAATGCTATATAATCCATGTTCTTTCACCTCATATTGCAAGGACTTAGGGCCCATTTAGACAGTTTGTTGCAATAATACAATGCACCATCATGCTTTAACCGCTTCCCGACCGCCCTATATCAGATATACTGCTACAGGGTGGCACAAGTGCGCAAAATCACGTACATATACGTTATTTTGCATTTCTGGATAGGGGGCGTGCATGAGGTGTGTGTGCGCCATACCCTTGCTGCCATTCACGGCCGTCAATCACCAGGTCCCGGCAGATGATTACTCGCCAGCGCCCGGTGATTGCCGAGCATCTCTACCTATACCTATCTCTACCTATCTCTATCACTATCTATACCTCCATTTGTAAATGCTAAAACTTTCACGTAAATCATTTAATTTACATGTATTAGGACTTTTTTAGCAAAGACATGTAGGTGAATACATTTTGGCCTAAATGTATGACGAAATTTGATTTTTTTATTTTTTGTACTGAACATGTTTAATAACAAAAAGTCAAAAAATATTGTTTATTTCTCAAAATTGTCGGTCTTTTTTTTATAGCACAAAAAATAAAAATGCACAGGCAATCAATACCACCAAAAGAAAGGAGTAGAGAATATGCAATTTTGTAAAGTGAATCTTCATTTATTTACAATTAAAAAGACTATATTCACATTATTCATCCAATCAAGGCAAAATCCTGTATTTTTATTTTTAATTTCTCATGTACAAAATTGGGTGCTCAAAGTAAACATAAATTACATTTTATTACATTTGCTAAATAAACATCAATCCCAGTGAGTGTAAAAGCAATAGAAATATAGGACACTTCAGGAAAGGTAACTAGTTTTATTTTATTGTCTGTTTATTTTTTCCTAAGTTCTTGCAAAATGGTTCACTTTAGAGGAATTAAAAAATGCAGTTTAAAAAGTCAGCCGTTATAAAGTTGTAGTAATTAATCTAAAGACCAGAGTTTAGATTTCAGTGGATGTAATTAGCATGTTTAATATCCAGCCATCTGTTTTAAAGAGAAAGCAATGTGTGACAATTTGTATTTCAGGAAGTGAAATAGTACATTTTATTAGCCCTTTGTAGAAAGTGTGTGTAATGGTGTAATCAATTATATATAATTCTTCAACCTAAAAGCTTTAAACATTTGTTTGCTTTGTGACTTATTTATTTATAACAAAACATATTTTTTTCAAACTACAAAGAAAGCTTACAATTCTGATGAGTGTTCCTCATTACTTACTCATTATTAAATGCATAAATAACAATTACATTTTCTACAGATACAAGTGAAAAGGAAAATTTCATTGAAAGCTTATGTTGCTAAAGAACGTCATTAGTATGTTATAATTATCTTTGTCACTTGCTGTTTTGCATATACAATAGAGGTGGAGTAGGAATTATAGGCTTGTAGGGCATTGTAGGGCGCAGACGATGTGTATGTATATGCCCAACCAAAACTTTTTCTTTCTTAGTTTTCGACAGAGTGAGGGAGGATAGGAATCCTGTTAGGGTTCTACTGCTATTCAGGGCTCTGTTAGAAAGACTGACCTTCAATCCCTTTCCTGTTGACAAGCTTTTATAAGGCAAAAAGTAACAGGGCCTCGTCAACAGAAACACAGACAGTAATCAGATAATTTTCTTTGGTATGCTAAAAGAAAGATAAAACTTATATTATATATATGGAAAATATGAGTTTGAAGCAAAACAGTCTTTCATGGTATTTCCACAGACTTACAATCAATAAATTTAAAAGCAATGAATTTTATCACAAAAAATATATTCAAAACATACAATTCTCATGCTCAAAATATCATATATACTGCTTGCTCAAGACTGGACTACTAATGTCATGAGAAGGATTCTTATAGGGCATTTCAAAACAGATGGTATAAACTCAAATACATTTAGCCAGTTCTCAATGTTTTCACGATGCAGTAACTTCCTCAGGAGTATTTGAGAGAGTATATTATCTGAAAAAACAATACGTGTAAAAATAATACACATATAATAATAATAATACATGACAATATCAGGTAAAACATCCAGTTACCGATGGGAGAGATTGGCTTACCAAGTGAACCCAAATTAGCTAACACACGAAGCAACACCAAGGTCAGATTTCTTAGTACATTCTGTTTTTAAACTTATGTTAGATTTGTATTGCTTTATTAAGGGGTGTGTATGTGACTTTCTATATATGAGATACAGATTTATCAGTATATAATCATTTCACCAAAATGATGGAGAGTATTACTTTAGTAAATACAAAATTTTAATTGTTTGATGTTTTTTGTCCTTTCCAATATCTTGCAATGTATTACTCTATTGAATGTTAAATGAGTGTTTGGATCCATATGTAAAATATTAGGTGACTGAACAATCATTGATGGGCACTGAAAGGCAGCACTGATGGGCACTGATATGCAGCACTGATGGGAACTGATAGGTGGCACTGACTGGCACAGATAGGTGGCACTGACTGGCACTGATAGGCGGCACTGATTGGCTCTGACAGTCACTGATAGGCAGCACTGACTGACACTGATAGGTGGTATGATTGTCACTGATAGATGCCACTGATGGGCACTGATATGCAGCACTGACTGGCTGTTTGGCACTGATAGGTTACACTGATTGGCACTGATAGGCGGCACCAGTGGGCACTGATAGGTGGCACCGATGGGCACTGATAGGCAGCACTGACTGGCATTGATAGGTGGAACTGATTGGCACTGATAGGTGGCACTGATGGGTACTGATAAACTGCACTGATGAGAAGGCACTGACGGCATTGACAGGCATCACTAATGGGCACAGAAATGGGCAGGTCTGATGGGCACTGATATTTGGCATTGATGGGCACTGATCGCGGCAATGGGCACTGAAAGTCAGCACTGATGGGGCTGCAATAATAATCAGGGCTCTGATGATCAGTGCCATGATTATCAGTGTAGATGTCCCCTCCGAAGAATGCCACTTACCAGCTCTCCTCTCCTCACGTGCTGTCAGGAGAGGACTGTTGATAACCGGCATTTCCTGTTTCCATGTGATCAGCTATGATTGGACACAGCTGATCACATGGTAGAGCCCATGTCATTTTTACCACGATTGGTGATCCTCTGTGTCCTAGGGACACAGCTCTCCACTGTTCTTCACACCGTGTGGCCCAGGGGCATGCATGCACAGCAAGAGTAGGAGGACGTTATATGACATCTTCCCAGAACAAGAGAACTCGCCCATCCATCATTTCCCTACACGGTGGGCAGGAGATGGTTAAAGGCAGGTAAACAATGTGCATTTACAATTTTTTTACATTGTAGCTTGCAAAATATTGCACCCTTGATCAGTGGATCGAGGGTGCAATGTCAGGTTCCTGCAGATACTCAATACAGCTGTCTGCTCCTACCCCCATACAAGCAAACAGTTACTAAAGTGTTGGAAAAATCTGCAGGAAATGTCAAGGAACTATGAGGGTGCCCATCAGCATTCTCGTAGTTCATTGAGAACTACAAGACATCTGCTGTGGTGGAAGGTGGTACTTGTAGTTCATTACTTCACATAACTCTGTGAATGAATGACACAGCTTTTTAAAACATGACAGCGGGTGTGGGGGGGGTTTTGGAGGACTCTTCCAAAGTACACCCTAAACATGTTACAAAAGTAAACATATCCTGTATCATCTTTTCCCAACCGCACTATAGCAGATATACTGCTACAGGGTGGCATGGGTGAACAAAATCATGTATATCTATGTGATTTCGTATTTCAGGGTAGGGGGCACGCCCTACCCACGCTGCCATTTCCGGCCACAGCTGTCAATCACCAGGATAACTCGCTGGCGCCCGGTGATTACTGAGCATCTCCGAAGGGGGGGAGAACTGTTTGTAAACAAAACAGTTGTCCTCCCTGTCAGCTCATGCACACTGCTTTGGATGGCTGTGCACAGCACAGCCATGCAAAGCAGTGTGCTTACAGCAGGGGCGAACTGACAACTCATTGTTCCCCCGGGCAATAGGGGATCATGGGGCCCCTGTGTCCTTGCCCACACCCAAAAAAGCCTATGAAAAAGCCAATGAAAGGTACCAGGGACATCTCATGGGGCCCCCTACTGACTCCGTTCCCTTGGGCAGTGCCCTAGTGCTTGAATGGTCAGTCCACCCCTGGCTTACAGTGAAGCACAAGGACACAGCACTATGTAAAACAGGACACCGCACACAGTTAACCCTTTGATCGCCCCCTCATGTTAACCCCTTCCTGTCCACTGCCATTAGTACAGTGTTAGTGCATTTTTTATCACTGATCACTGTATTGGTGTCACTGGGGATGTCAGTGGCACCAAGTCAGTTCCCCCCAGTCTCAGAATGCCGGCCGCAGTCCCGCAGTCCCGCTATAAGTAGCTGATCACCGCCATTAATAGTAAAAATCCTAGTATATATACCACCATTTGTAAATGCTATAACTTTCATGTAAACCAATTAATTTACACATATTGGGATTTTTTTTTAGCAAAGACATGTAGCAGAATACATTTTGGCCTAAATTCATGATGAAATTTGATTTTTTTTTTTTTTCAATTTTTTTACTGAACATGTTTAATATCAAAAAGTAAAAAAATATTGTTTTTTTTCTCAAAATTGGTGGTATTTTTTTTTATAGCGCAAAAAATAAAAAATGCACAGGCGATCAAATGCCACCAAAAGGAAGCTCAATTTGTGGAAAAAAGGATGTAAATTTAATTTGGGTGCAGTGTTGCATGACTGCGCAATTATCATTTAAAGTAAAGCAGCACCGTAACGTAAAATGGCCTGGTCAGGAAGGGGGGTAAATCCTCTGGAGGGCAAGTGGTTAAAGTGGTTGTAAGCTCAGGCATGAAATACGAACAAAGTATATCCCTGTATAGTTTTGTACTATATTTCTCAATTAAGAGCACTACATGTCATTTCTATCCACTGCTTCATTCCCCTGCTATCAGTATCAGTCAATTCTGCCACGTTTTCCTGACACCAAGAGAAACATGGTGACAGGGGAGGGACCTCCTGCAGATTGACAGCCTCAGTTCTGTTTCTGTATGCTGTGTGTGTGTAGGGGGGGTGTATCTTCCTTCCAAACAGCTCTCCTCACTGTGCTCTGCAGTGTGCAATGTCAGCTCTACACCCCCTTTTTTCTGAACTCTCAGAAAAGCTTGATAAATTCTGACCTTTGAAGTGATGTAGAGAAGAGAAGTCTGCAGATAAACAGGTAAAAAACTGTAGGATGATTTGTTACTTCTCTGTGTTGATACGACTGGGGCCAGTCACTTCACTGGATATATATAAGGGTTAACAACCACTTTAAGTAAATACCCCCAATTACAGACAAGATTTGAACATAATACATAATCCTTTTATATGGTCTTTGGATAAATTCTTGAAATCAATGAGTGGCTCTAAGCTCTCAGGATGGCTTCCTGTGACTTTAGATATTTGATTTTATCTGATAAATCAATAAACCTGTATAATATTTTAATGACATTAGGTGGGTCGCTATATAAACCCTTATTGAATTATTCCCTATAATAAGTTTTTACTTTTGTCTGTGTCCGTGTTGCATATTTTCCCTCCCTTGCTGTCAATTTAAACCACTGTTAGCAGGACAGAAAGTGAGGATAAACCTCTCAAATGGAGCTGCAATTAGAGAAAAAAAACCCACAGGGGTTCTAAATTTCTCCCTTTAAAGCTAGAAAAAAAGTATTTCTGCCTGACATACACTTGAAAGGTGAATATATATATATATATACTGTATATATTCACTCCCTTATTATCTCACGACTCAACTACTGCAACTCCATCCTCACTGGCCTCATCACAGACTATCCCCGCTTCAGTCTATCCTGAACTCAGCAGCCAGACTCATCCACCTCACCAACCGCTCCGCTTCTGCCACCCCCTCTGTCATTCCCTCCACTGGCTTCCGATTGCCCAACGCATTAAATTCAAACTACTAACACTAACCTACAAAGCCTCTTACTTTCTAGCTCCCTGGTCTCCTCCTCCCACGCCCGACTGCAGGACTTCTCCAGGACTTCCCCCATCCTCTGGAACTCACTACCCCAATCCATCAGACTGTCACCTTCCCTCCTCACCTTTAGGCGCACCCTGAAAACCCATCTCTTCAGGGAAGCCTACCCCACCCTGACCTAACAGCCGATCTACACTCTACACTCCTCCTACCACTCCATCCCCCTCAGCCACTTCCTCCTTTACCACTATCCCCTCCCTCCTAGATTGTAAGCTCGAAAGAGTAGGGCCCTCGAACCCCATGTGTTTTGTCTTGTTACTGTATTGTCTCATGTACTGTCCCCCACTATAATGTACAACGCTGGGCAAACATTTTGGCTCTATATAAATAATGTATAATAATATATATATATTTATATATATATATATATATATATACAGTATATATATATATATAAATCTGCAATACTACTTTTGATTATTTTTATATTTTTATTCATTCTTGTAATTCACATACTCCTACCAAATTGGATGGCCAAGGAGTAACACCACTTTTTTTCTGTTACAGTTAACAATTCATAAATGTATCTCCCTTCTTATAAACATCTTCCCTGTGCTAATTTGACAGGACTGTGCAAAGTTTTATTGCCTGACACTGTTTCCCCCCCCTCTCCCAAATGATTACTGCTATGTAGGGGGATGAAAGAAAGCTGATATAAAGATGAATTCAGGTACTTACCAGATGTATTTTAATGATTTTTTAATGAATGCATAACCGCATTGAAAGGTGTTCTTATATTGCTTGATATTCAGGTTTAGCACCTGCAATAGAAATGTTTAATGCATTAGGAAAAATGCAGTCCTTTTAAAAAATATTTACCACCTTGGAAGTTTTCATATTTTATTGTAATTGAAAATTGAATCATCATGAATTAAATTTTGGTTTTTTTTCTGACAGTGATAAACAGAACTATGATGCCACCTGAATGCCAAAGTAAAATCATATCTCTACAAGATTGTAATGAGTTACAAAAGAAATATAATTACACGCTACCTGTACTGTAGCTTATTTATAAGAGATTGGGAACCCTTTTTTATGTAAATATTTCCTTAGAGTCCAATACGCAGTCTCTGATGGTAATAAAGGGCCAGCCCTGCCTATTTATGATATATTGCTTCATGCCGCTGTTGACTCTGGTGGCCTCACTCCCTCTTTTGAGTCCTTCGTGCTATATATGACTACGTGTAGGTAAGTTTTTTTAAATTATATTACCATTTTGGGGAGTGATATTTACTATATATTATATGTGGCTTTGGTAATTTTTATCCTAGGGTCCCCTCCAGGGCAGCTGAGCCTAACCCTCCTAGGAGGCATTAGTAAGGTTTTTACCAATGGTGAGAGGTGGTAGGTTATGGTATTTTGGTGGAACCTTTCATCTATCTTAAAGTGATTCTAAAGCCAAAAGGGTTTTTTTTTTACCTTAATGCTTTCTGTGCATTAAGGTAAAAAATCTTTTGTAACTGGGATCCCCCCCCCCACTCCCCCCCCCCCCTCATACTTACCTGAGTCCCAGCGCCGTCCAGCGCTTTTCATGGGTGCAGCGGCTCTCTCTGTTCTGTCCCTCCTCACAGGGTAGATCCATAACAGCAGGAACCATTGGTTCCCACTGCTATTAATCAAACTCTGAGAAAAGAGAGTGTGGGGTGGAGCTGTGCTCCATTGTCTGTGTCTATGGACACA